CTCCCAGGCAGAACCTCTTCTTCCCCAGGGAAGCTTTGGTTCTGCTCTCAGGCCTCGGACTGAGTCAGGCCGCAGGTTGTCCAAGATAATCTCCACTCACAGCCGCTGGCTGAAGGCGGCACCCCGTGGACCAGCCGGGCCGGCTGAACACACCGTCATGCACACGGGCAGAGCCTCGGAGGGACTCTGCAAATCGGAGAGAAGCAGCGAGCGGCCAGCGGGAAGGGCCGGAGCTGTAGGAGATGGCTCGGGAGAGGAGCCCCACGCGGCCACAGACACGGGGACAGCCGCTCGCCCTCGCTCGGTGTGACATGAAAGGCACTAAGGTCAGAGCGATGTTTGCCTCTAAGAGCAGGGAGGGCCCCGGGGGCCTTTTTGGGCGCCGGTGATTCTCTCTCGCTCTGAATACTGTGCCATTTACCGCTACCACACACGGACCGCGAGGGGCTCCCGGGCCTGGTTCTCCGACGCAAAACTGACCCTCGGTCTCGGGGTCAGGCATGTTTATGGGGCAGATGCTGGAGTCCTTGGCCGGGGCAAGGCGCCCGCTTCTCGGGGGTCCACCAGCGTGCCCGGCCTTCCTGGTGCAGACTCAGCTTGGGCCTCGCTCACATCTACTGTGAGGCAGAAAGATGTTTTGGCCAAAATTACCTGCGTGTCCCAGGCCACAGGCTTAGTCTGACTCTAAGTAGTGAGCAGATGAGAAAGTATGAGCCTTCCGGTGACAATGACACCAAGCTCACTGCTGAAGGGATAACAAAGGAGTTGAAGGCTCGAGTTGGAGGCGAGGCTGGAAGGCTTTGAAGGAGGAGCTCGTAACGTGCATTTTTTTCTCTAGTGGGCGGAACATCCTGGAACACTCTGGAAAAGGAAGCCCACGTGGCAGCTGCTTCCCTAAACTGACTGCATAATATGGACCCGCCTCCTCCTGCCTGCATCTGGCTCTGGGGGCTGCTAGGACCAGCCTGGCCCTCAGCCTGGCCCACGGTTCCCGTTGTGAGTCTGTGCCAATGGGACCCGGGTCATGGGCAATGACCGGGGCAGTGACACTGGACCCTGCGCCAGAAGGGCCCCAAGCTCAGTGCTGAATGTTCTGCAGTCGCAGTATTGAAATTCTGAATAATGTCACCACCCCTGCATTTGTGGTTTGTCAGTGAAGCTGGTGGGACAGGGAATCGGCTGCTGGGGACCAGAGCTGAGCACCCTCTGTTCCGTGATCCCTCCTCCTATCGCCTCCAACAGCAGAAGAGAGGAAAACATCATGTATTTCAGTACCTTGAACAGCACCTTTCCTGCTTTTCCAAGGAGGGGCCCATGCTTGCCCTGGTGGGAGCAGCAGAGGCCTGCACAGGAGCTGCCAGCAACCCTGCTCGGCGGGCCCACGGGCGCCCTAGACTCAAGCTGCCGAGGCTGCCTGGGGACAGTCCCCACGACACACTGTGTGAGCAATTGACAGCAGCTCCCCACAGCCAGCCTCTAAGCCACCCTGCCTGCAGCAACGCCCCAGCCCCATAGCCACAAGGCGCCCTCCTTTGCAGTTTCTCATGATCGATAAGCAGAGACCAGAGTGAGCATTTACCAACTTCCACAGTCAGTTGGCAGAGTGGTTTTATATCGGTGGAATCTAACAATTAAAATATCAGTTATTTTTCCTAGTAATTTAGTTTCATTGGATTTTACAGCTGCGAATGGAGGGTGGATGGTTCTGGTGTTTGACTTTGAGGGTGCTTGTTTCCTGAGCTTCCCTGACGATGCTTCTTGCTTTGTGACTGGAGGGCTGTGGTCCTGCCCTTGGTTCTTTCACTGCCCCATCACCAGCCTGCATTTCCATCCTCCAGGCACTTTGTGTGGGTCTGAATAGGAAACCCTCAGCGGCATGCTAATCCCTGAGAGGCAGTGGCATTTCCGTGGGAATGCAGGTGTGGCTGCATTGTAAGCCTCTCGGCAGCGGAGGCATCTCAGCTACCTTCTGGATAAAGCGGGATGTTTTTATATTCAAATCATAGACTTTTCCCCTTAAAAGTCATGGTGAAACCTTCCAGTCACGGATCCGGCAGGTGTTTAACTCACTTTTTTTTTTTTATTGTTCAAAATATTACAGATGTCTCCCTTTTTCTCCCCATTGCCCCCTCCACCCCGCCCCACCCCCAGTCCCTCTCCACACCATTGTCCGAGTCCTTGGGTTGTGCATATGTGCGTATTTCTTTGGCTACTCTCTCCCCCTCCATCCACCCGCCCTCCTCTGTCCCTCTGACATTTATTTGTCAGTCTCATCTGTGCTTCCATGTCACTGAATCTATTCTGTTCATCGGTTTATTAAGTTCTTTAGATTCCACATATAGATGAGATCATGTGATGTTTGCCTTTCTCTGCCTGGCCTATTTCACTTAGCACAATACTCTCCAGGTCCCTCCATACTGTCCCAAAGGGTACGAGATCCTTCTTTACAGCTGCGTAGTATTCCATGGTATGAATGTCCCACAGCTTTTTTATCTACTCACCTACCGATGGGCACCTGGGCTGCTTTCAGATCTGAAACTGCTCGCCTGCTTTAAGTCAGCTGTGGGTCTGCCTCAGTTTCCCAAAGGGCCACCCCTCCACTTCTAAAGCGCCCCTCCGCTGGTTGTGGGACTGTCTGCAATACTTCAGCCCTGAGCTGGGACAATAGCCACAGACTCAAGCTGCCTTCTGCTGGTCCCCAGAGGGTGGCTATTCTTGGGAAGGCGCAGGAATGAAGTGGGTCACTTAACACCTGACCTGGCCTTTGATGAGGGTGGAGAACTGGAGAAACGAAAAGAATTCTCTGTGCATCTCTGAATGGCCCGTTGACACGTCTCTCCCTCCCTTTGTTTATTCCATTTGATTCGAAAGTGAGCACTGAGGACAGAGGCTTTGTGGTGAGCAGGGGCTGCAGCTGGCGGGGGCACAGGCCAGCACAGCCACTGGGACCCCTGGGGGTGGACAGGGAGGAGCAGCTGAAAGCCTGCGATGGGGACCCGGGAAAAGCAGCCACTGGGCACGTGGGCTGGAGGTGGAAGACGGAACCCAGGATGGGCAAGAGAAACAAACCTGCGAGCTGAGTGGATCGTGTGTAAGAAACTGTATATAGCCCACGTGGTGGTCATGGAACTTTTATTTTTAGTAGTAGGAAACTTTTTAAATGTGCCAGGAACTTATAAAAAAAAAGCCAGCTTGCTTGTGAGGACAACTGCCATTCAGTGGACCTCATCCTGTCTGCCCTTCTCTGGCCTCGTGGGAACGACAGCGGTGACCCTGCGGGTGACTTGGCCGTGCTCTGACCACTGCCCTTCCCACTGCGAAGGGGCAGCAGCCTTGTCTCAGTGCCCAGGGCCTGCTATCCCAGGGCGTCCATCGGAGAAAAATGTGGGCGGTGCGGACGCCTGTGTCTAAGCCAGTCTGAGAGCCTGCAGTTCCTGTGCAGCCCCCAGGGCAGCCTGCTCCCTCCTGTGACATTTCAGCCAAGGATGGATCTTGGGATGGGCCTTAAATTGCATGATTTATAAAACATCCTAAACTGGGGGGGCTTGGCCTGCTCCCCAGCAGGGTGGCCCTTCTCTGCTGGAACAGAAAACCAAGAACATGCAGTTCTATTGTAAAGTTTTCTTTTTCTAGAATAATGGAAATGAGAGTGGGGACAATCAACGTGCTGAGTTTTTAAAAAACATTTTATTTCCAAGGGCAGATAAGGATTTTGCTAGGCAACAGCCGAGAGCTCAGCGGCCAGGGAACAATCAGTCTGTCTTAATAAATAACCAGTGTGCTGCGAGGCTCCTACATACAGCACACCCGCTAAATAAATAACCCCGGGGCTGGGCAGCCAGGACGGTCCCTGGTGCCTGTGTGTCGTGGGGTGAGACACAGTCTGCACTGGGGACCCCTTCCAGGCTCTGCTCTGTCTTCCTGGGACCCCATAGGGGTCCAGCAGCATCAGGGCCCTTGGTGCTGGGGTGACAGGAATCTCAGGGTGCTCTGGGGCCGGCATTCCCGGTGCCCCCGACCCACTTGGGCTTGGACAGTGTTTCCGCTGCTCACTTCTCACAGTGGTTTTCGGGTGGGTACAGAAGAGGAGGTGCCGGGAGTCTAGCTCTGCCAGTTTCTCATCCAGTTGTCAGGTTCTTGTCCTGTGCGGGTGGGCTGCTCGCTGGCTGCCTCCTCCCTTGCGCGGCTGTACCCGACTGTCTTCCACACGCAGGTCCCGGTGTCATCAGAGCCCCTCCTGTGCGGCACTCACCCCATTCTAGCTTCTAGGCCGAGATACCTGAGAGAGGAGGGCACCTGTGTGCCCCGTGGCATCCTGCCAGGTGCTGCGTGGAGCCACAGCCACGGCACTTCCTCGCTGCTATCCCACGTGCCACGGCTCGTCTAAACAGTACCAGGACTTCTCAAGGTGGCTTTAGTGTCTTCTCCAGGTGCATGTGCAAAAGGCAAAGTAAGTCACTCTTTTCAACACGGGGCCTTTATTTCAGCTTTTCCTTGAAAGACAGTTTGTGAAGGACAGGCCCCGCCTCCCTCTGCAGGGCCGAGTGGTCAGTGCTCCTTAAACCTGAGAGAAAATAAAATATTGCGGGTGACACGGGCGCAGCGGCCTGAGGACAGATGCTGAACTCCTCCCCTTGCACCAGCCCCCGGGGCGCCAGTGTCCCTCCCCTCTGCGGGGTCTCGGGGGACAGAGGGGCAAGCGGAGAGAGGAAGGGGGGCAGGAGGCCTGGCTGAGCTCTGCAGCTGCCACCTGTGTGGCAGAGCCAAGCTCAAAGAACAAAGGAGGCCGTTTCCCTCGGTCTTCCACCCAGACCCTGGGGCGCCATGGCAGGTCCCCATCCACACCGGCGTTTATCAGAAAGGGAGAGGGGCACGAGCTGTGAGGAAAGGGAAGCCGGGGCGCTGTCTGTCTTCCTTTAGGACCAGCGGGCGCTGGCGGCAGATAAGCCAGAGCGACATTTTGGAGCTGAGTTAACTTCGGGGAGGCCAGGAGCACTTACGGAACTTGATCCTCTGTTGCTGCCCCCGGGCAGCCCAGCTCCTTGTGTATGAGGCGGATCAGGAACTGCACCCAAGACAAAGACAAGGCTGCCGAGTTACTGCTGTGGAGACCCCGAGGGCTGGGGGGACCCCGAGGGCTGGGGGGACCCTAGTTTGGGGAGACCCCTAGTGCTGGGGAGATGCCGAGTGCCTCAGGCGTAGACCCCAAGTGAGTGCTGGGAGACCCCGTGTGCTGGGGAGACCCCAAGTGCCACAAGTGGAGACCCTGAGTGAGTGCTGGGAGACCCCGCGTGCTGGGGGGACCCTGCGTGCCACAGCATGCCCACTGTCACTATGAAGACCAAGTCCTGTCCCCACTGGAGCCCACCGCCTGGCTCTCTGAGCCCACGCCAGGGGGTCTGCCCGTGGACACTGCCTCAGAACTTTAAGGACTTAAAGGCCCAAAGTGGAGCAGAGGGAGCTCCATCCACGGGCCGTGTAGGCTGAGCGCAGGGCTGTTGCTTAGGAATCACTATGCAGGACATGCTGCCAGGACAGACTTCAGCCTGACCTCTGGGTGCACGTCATGTTTAAAATGAAATGAGTCCAGTCATAGAATGCCCAAGTTGGTGACACAGGGAGGACGGGAGAGCTGGGCAGGTGACTGAGAGCCGTCACCAGCCACGGGCACTGGAGGCTGCAAAGGCCGTCCCGGGAACAGCCTTGGCCTGAACCCAGAGCTCGCTGCCCACCCGCAGCCTGCAGGTGCTGCTGAGCACTCTCCCTTCATGGCCCTTCTCACACTGAAAGGGCTCAGAGCCAGTTCACGCAGACTACAGACTAAGCACCACCCCAAATCTAACTGGTTCTTTTTGCGTTTCTCTAGTCGTTCCCCAAGTGTGACACCAGCCCCCAGAAGAGCTCACCCTCCATGATGGGCAGTGCCCTGGGGTAGTACCCAGAGGGTCACCTGGCTCTGGGGGACCACTGTGCCACCAGGGAAGGCAGCGTGGGTGCTGGAGGAGGGTTTCGAGGGATGGTGTGAAACCCACGCAGCCACATGGGACCGAACCTCGGTCAGAACCTCGAGGGCGCGACGTTTGTTTCCTTAGAGGCCTCAGGTTCGCGTGGGGGCTCAGAAGCACCTCGTATGTACAGTGAGTTCAGACTAGAGAGGAGGCAGTTTCCCGACAGGTGAGACACAGCCACCTTGCTGGACCAGGGCCGTGGTCACACAATCATGGTGGTAAAGGGAGTGGGCAGGCACGTGGCTGGCGCCGAGGACAGTGCCGGCAGCAATAACATTTGTGTTAGACAGTTGATCACAGAGAATCTGAGCCTCGACCTCCCACTGCAGCATGGCCTGCTGTGTCTGAGCTGGCCTCTTGTCAACATCAGGTCTACCAAGTCCCAAATGTGAAAGCGTTAGTGGGAAGAAGCTTATGATTATAGAAAGTGGATCACTAAGCGAAAGGAGAAAGGGAAGAAAACACCTGTTACGTGTGGGTGTGGGACACGCTGTAAACAGCAGGGACAATCTGAAGGACAAAGCTCAACTCCTGAAACATGATGGCAGGAAGTTCCCATCTGTGCGCCGAGTTCCTGACAGGGAAGGCACCCTCAGCTCTGGGTGCTGGCAGGCACTGGAGAGGGTCAGCCCAGGGACGTGAGAGCCCGGCCACTCTGTCTGACCACACGAATGGGCAGTTCCCCAGGCCTGCCGGGTGACAGTCCCCAGGCCTGCACGTTGCCTCTGCAGCCTGCCTGCAGCACCAGCAGCCCACTGACCACTTCTGCTTCTGTGTCTGATCTTTGTTTGACCAGGAAGAGGAAGGGTCTTGGACAGAGAAGTGGGGCCATGTCACAGGCCCAGAGTCCCAGAGAGCTGCAGGAGCCTTCCCGGGAGAAGGCATCACCAGTGTTTGCTGATACCATGGAGACTCGTGTGAAGGCTGCTGGGACGAGGGGTCAAGTGACTTACCAGTAAGGCACAGGCGTCTGCGAACATCAGCATGTAGAACACGTTGTTCCACCCCGATGGGGAGATGAGCCCGGCCAGCAAAGGGCCCAGGGCCGCTCCTGAAACAAGGCAAGTGGGCACACGTTGGTGCGAGAGGAAAAGTCTAGAACGTGACTGTCTGAAGCACCCAAGCCCAACAGATGCACAGAGTGGTGCTTAAACCCTCACTGATAATTAAGCAAAAGCACATGAAAACAACAGTGTCTCATTCTCGCCTGTCAGGTTGGTGAGGGGTAAAAAGCTTAATTATATTCGGCACTGCCGAGGGAATGACTGGCATAGTCTTTTTCTGGAAGCCAATCTAAAATATGTATTGACATTAAATGCTGATTCTTTTGATCCAATCATCCCATTTAAAAACTTTATCATAAAGAAATTGAATCTAATGGTATAAAAATGTCATTTGGAGAAGTATGTATAAGGTGTGTAGATAAAAATACTGTATCAGTGTTATTTCCTGATTCTGGTCATTGTACTGTGGTTATGTGAGGGAGCTCCTGGTTTTCGGGGAATACATACTGACTACATAGTTCCTGGTGAAGCGGCAGCATATCTGCAATTTACTCTAACGTGGTTCCGAAAAAATATGCATATGTATCCACGTGTGTGTGTTATAAATGTGTGTGTGAGACAGAGTGGGGGCGATGACAGGCAAACACAGTGTGAATTGTTTATACTTGTTTGCAACTTTTCTTAAGTCTGAAATTATGAACAAAATTTCACATGACTTGACCTAATACACACGGCAGCCAGGAAATAGGAGGCGGCACTGGAAGGGCAGACAAGCCCTAGCGAACATGAACATTATGAGAGCCAAAGCAGAAGTTCAGTCCAGAGCTTGGAAAGTCAAGAACATCTCTGAGGAAAACAAGCAAAGGTACAGACAGGAAGGGGAAAAAGAAACAAAAGAAAATTGAAGGATTAACCCAGCAAGTTCAACATCTGAATAATGTTTCCAGAAGAAAAAAAAGAAACCAAACAGAAAATAGCAGGAAAAAACTTATCAGACAACAGATGGAGGCCACTGTCCCAGAGACCAGGGCGTGTGAATGAACTGAGTGGGCCCCCAGGTGCCTGGGCACAGGGTGAAGAGAGCCCAGAGGTTTCCCAGAGGAAAACGAGAGGTCAGAGGTGAGGGCCTGGGCTGAGGACCACAGTGGACTTCTCCGTGTGACGAGAGAAGCTAGGAGACAAAGGATTGTCAACCTCGAACTCTATGGACAGACTGTCCCCCAAGCGACAGCAGGATTCAGACCCCATAGGCTTCCCAGCGTGCCTTTCCCCTCTGCTTCTGTCTAGTCGCGCAGCACTTCTGGGGAGAAATAATGATGGAGACAAAGTGGTGGGCAAGCATGTGCCGTTTCCATGGCGACAGTTTCCTCGGGGCCTGTGCACTGGAGCTGGCAGAGCCTGGAAGCCCGGGCGCCTGCCAGACCTCCGAGTGTGGGTGTGACAGTCCACCCATCAGCAAGGACTGCAGGTCAGTGAAGGGGTCAGACATGGTCCAGGTGGCCTCCACCACTCTCGTGGGGTAAGGGCGTTCAGAGAGGCCCCTTTACAGATGCAGAGACACCCCCCCTTGCCAGGAACCTCTGCTTCCCTCATCTCGAGAATATCAAGAATAATGTGTGTTTCACTGAATTCAACCCCATCTTTTGCTTTCTAACAGCAAACAGTGCTGCTGGCAGAGCCCTGATGAGCTGGAACACGGAGTTCACAGTGGGGCTGGACTGACTCACACAAAGGCCTCCGGGACGGGAGGCAGAGGGCAGGCTGTCACAGTCCCAGTTCAGTAGAAGGGGCTCAGCCCAGGAGTCCTGACTTCCGACCACGCGTGTCTTCCAGCTGTGGGGAGTTTCTCGTGGGCCATGTGAGCCACGGAGAATGGCTGGCCTGCTCAATGCAGGGGAGTCGTGCTGCCCGGGAGACGCCGCAGGGCAGAGCACCCACCTGCCTCCTCCCCAAGAAATGCCCCCAAAGGGAATGGTCTCATTTTAAAATAAACACCAGAGAGGTGGGCACTAACACTATCCAGCAAATTCAAAGCCACCAGAGTCCAGCAAAATGAAGGAACCAAAGTTGAGGCCTAAATGGGGCTGCTATGACTCTGGGGAGCAGAAGCTTGAGCCCCAACTTCTGAATGACGGCAGTCAGGGCCGCACAGGCGACTCCAGACCTCGGGCAGGGAGCAGACACAGTGTATGTGTGAGCTCAAGAAAGGTCAAGGACACGGCCATTGCTGCCAGCCTGACTGGCTGATAGGAACAGGCTGGCGGCCACCAGTGCCCACCTGCCCCTCTCTGAGGGTGAGTTTCATATGTCACCAGCTTTCTGTCCTTCAGGATATTGCTACTGAATTTTCTCCAAGAACCTCTGCGAGGCTGCGAACACTCAGAGTCCAGCGTGTTGTGGGACCCACTAGTTTTCCTGTCATTTACATTTAAATAAGACCCTGTCCTGGAGATGACAGTGATACACAGTCACAGTGGGCCATGGGCTGGGCCCAGTTTGCCAACAGATGGCTTTAATGAAAACCCAGTTCTTTGACACGGATGAAAATGAATTCCAACCAGCTACAGTGCCCACTGCTTCCAGAACCTTCGACCAAAGCGGACAGACAGTGCCCCAGGCTCTCGTCCCCTGGGTTGCTTCCCATCAGCCCGTATATTAAGGCCAGTTGATCCCAACATCACCAGAGCAATTGGAATCGTGGCGTCCGTTAATTAGGACATGACAATGCAGTTCCCCTGTGACCACAATTAACTTTCAAAGCTAAAAATATCCACGTACCTACAGACCCGGTTCCATCGATGATGGCAGTCACGGTGGCGAGGGCGTGAGAGTTGCCTTTCAGACTTTTATGAGTCCCCTGAAGAGAGGAAAATCAGGTGTGAGGCCTGTCCCAGCAGCATCAGAGGGAGAAATGAAACTAGTTGTCCCCACAGCAATTTACATAGTGACTGTGCAGAGCAATTCAGAACGTGGGGGTTTTCCACTGGAACTTACCTTGGAAAAGTGGGCAAAGTGTCAGGGTGGCTGCACTTACAGAGCCCACTGCTGTCATGAATGGAAGAGGTGACCACCATGGCCCATGCCTGCCACCCCCACCGCCCCAACTCGGCGCTGAGATGTGGCCACTCACCAGGTCCGCGGAGACGGCGGTGGTGATCAGCGCATACGGCCCGCTGACCAGGGCCCCACACAGGAGCAGCATGGCTGTGGAAACCAGAAACCAGAGGGGCAGTTAGTGAGCAGAACAGGGCCCCCACGAGCCCCCACGGTCTCAGCAACCCCCAGGTGGACACCCTGCTTTTACAAATGGGTCCTGGCCCCAGTGGGATGCTGGGAAGGTGGCCCACACATCCACATCCACTGGGGGGTGGTGGTGGTGTAATTGTCATAAACGCCTTCCTTTAGCCTTGCCAGAGACTTGCTGGGTAAGCCCAGCCACACTTTCCTGGAACTCTGTTCCTCCAGCTCAGTGGACGGCCACTGCTGACACACTAAGGGAGGCGAGAACCTGGTGCACCGAGTACACATGTGACCCGGGCAGCAAATGCCCCTGTCGTCTGTTGGCTACCACCAGCTACAGCCTTATCTGCAGTGGAAAGGACTTCTCTCTGCACCCACAGTGCCAATGGGGCCCCCACGGGAAACCGGCAGAGGTCCTGAGCAGGACCACAGTGCCTATCGCTGAAACGTGGTTACCTTCTTAAACCATCCTCTAGTTCACATTCCTCTGTGCAAAAGCATTTGGACCAGGGGTAGCAGGAACTCTGTGACACCCCCATCAGCAACCTGCCTCCAGGTAACTTTCAGTGGGATCACACAGCCCTCATCCCCTCAACCCTACCGCTGGCTTGTTAGGACAAAAACATTATTTCTAGGTGGCAGAGCTGCGAGTTGATAGTGCAGCCTGAGGAAGTTAAAAATAGCCCTCCAGTGTTACCCAACTGCCCCTGGAAGGGCGGCCAACAGGAGCCGGCTGGGAGGGTGGGCTGGGAACCTGGCCCGCCCTGCTCCTGCCCGCTCTCACCCGCCAGAGGTGCAGACTGCTGCCTCCCAGGTGACGTCTGGCTTCTGCGAGAGGCTCCTTGCCACTGGGCACCCAAGGCCTATCACTACCCAGGCCAGGTGGCCTGCACCCTCCCCACCTGCTCTCAGACCTTCAGATGGTCAGGCCTTGTGGGAGCAGGAGTCCCCGTGGGCCTCTCCCAATGGCCCCACCCAAAGAGGGGCCTGGGGACTCCTCTAGCCTCACCATATGCCACAGTTACACCAGCTAAATGCTCCTTGGTTAATTTTTCATTTCATTTCACCAAGCTGTGTGGTAAAAAATTGTGTATGAAAGAAAAGAGAGGCCTGTGGACTCACCTATGGTGGCTTCCAGACCCATTCTGCTGATGGTGGAAAATATATAGAGCTGTGATGGGAAAAACAAGGCAACAGCAACATAGTCGTGAAAGATTGCCCAGGAGTCTGTCTCTGAGAAGCCAGGCAGGCGATTCTCAAGCAGCCAACCAGAGAGGGGACAGCCCTAAATAGGACGCAGGCCATGCTCCCTAGTTGGGCGGGCTGAAGACAGGCGTCTACAGAAGCCACTGGCCTTGTCCCAGACATGCGGGTACTTACTGTGCTCACTGAGCTGGGGGACCCTGCGGTGCTTCCCTCTGAGCTACTGGGGCTGGGGCAGATCTCCCTGAGTCTAACTGCTGCCCCCAGCAGCTGTGCCTGGGGAAGCAGGAGTCCCAAGGCAAGGGGGCCACGTGTAGTCAGTTCTTTAGTAAGGGCCTTTGAGTGTCTGTGTTGGGCAGTGCCCACCCCCCCAAGATGACTGAAAACTAGGCCTCATTCAGGGGACAATCACAGCCCAGAGGAGTGGCAGACAGCCAAATAGCTTCAATGCAAGTGGATGAGTAATAATATCATATGTACTATTGTTGTAAAGGCAGTAATAATGTAATGTTTCACTTAATCCTCAAACTGACAGTGTGAGGTGCTGTCACTGTCACCCTCATTCTGAAGATAAGGAACTGAGCCACAGAGAGGGAGTCAGCTGCCCAAGGTCGTGCACTACTGAATACTTAAAAAGCAGTACGGATCCAGCTGTGAATGTGATGGGCGGGGGCTGGCGCCCACCCGGGACCCTGAAGGATCAGTGGGATCTCAGGGAGGGAGAGGGAAGGGCCTTGATGGGGGGAGGCGGGGCCAAGGTGGGCCTGAGGGAAGCTGGGGCTCTGTAGGCCCACAGGGTTTGCTGGGGGAGGTTCTGAGCCATGAATGGAGTGAGCCTGGGTCAGATGGGAGAGTGCTTGCTGGTGGGAGGACAGGGTGGCTGTGTCCGAGGCAGAGGTTGTGGGGCAGGCTCACCGTCGGGGCTGCGAGCAGCAGCATCAGCCCACAGGTGGAAGCCCTCTTCTCCAGCCGATCTGAGATGACACCTGCCAGAATCCCACCTGCAATGCAGAAGGGTGGGTCCTGAGGTGCTTACCTCCCTGGGCAGGGTCCCATGGAGAAGAAGCAGAAGACAGTGACGTCCTCTCCCAAGTCCCCTTTCACATCCCCATTGGCAGGAAGCCGCCTCAGCAATGCCTGATCCCCAAACAGGCCTCTGTGCTGTGGTCAGATGTGAGTGATCCGGTGGGCACCTCCCAGTGAGACAACAAGGGAGTCTGGGGGCTGGTTTTAGGCTGGCCCCAAAGCCCCTTCACCTGTCAGGGTACTAACAACAACAGTGTGTTGCCTGCTATGTGCGCCTGTCTCTGACGGAGTCTAGTTCACGTGCAGAGTCAGGTGGTACATCCTGGGGGACGCGTTTTCCTCTCAGCACTAAGTCAACTCAGAGATCCCAGGTGTTCCTGTGCCATTGTTTGCACAGCAGTGGAGCAGGTGGTGAGGGACTTACCAAAGATCCCGCCCACGTCAAACAAGGTGGACAGCTCCCCTGCCTTCTTGGCATCCAGGTGATCTGTTAAAATGACAAGGTCCTCCCATGATGCCCTTTTGTTTTGTAAGCATGATGCACACCAAGGAGCAGTTAGTTAACTCAGATTAGAGAAAACAAGCAGCCAGGATGTGGGTGGACACACAAGGAAGACAAAGACTAAACACTCTTAGCCCAGAATGAGTGCTGGTCCTGCTGAGTCTGACGTACCCCCGCCCCCTCTGGTTCAGTGTAGCCAATTACATGCAGCACAGGACAGAAGTGGGGTGCTAGACAGGGAAGGAACGCCCAAGCTCCTTGCTGCCTTTCCCTGCCCTCCCAGACCCGTCCCGGCTAACATGCCGGTCCCCTCACTGTCCCCTCAGCTCCCACCCTGTGAAATTCAGCCCTTCTGCCTCTGGCTCAGTCCCCCTCTCCTTGTCCTTATGACACTGCTGAGAACATGCAGCCTGCACTCCGCAAACCTGCACTCACATCTCTCCCCTTTGTCACACTCAGCAGAGCCGCATCTCCCCACATCTCAGGGGGGCACCTAGAAGCTCGGGTCCTCCTTGACCATTCCACCCTGACCATCCCCCACCCTGACCATTTCCATCTCCTTCAGCCCCCGGACTCAGGGTCTTTTCTCTGAGGAAGTTCTGGGTCCCCTCTTGTCTTTCTTGGGTATGGTCACACATAGCACCGGGAGAGCACACCACCCCTGAGCTGGTGTTTCTGTCACAGCCTATAGCTTCAGCCCTGTTGGACTTTGGAAATAAGCCAAACCAGCCTCTCTTCCCTCAAATCAGACCCCACTTCAGGAAGCAGTTTCCAGGTCAGATTATTAAACATTTGTTAGCTCTGCTCCCCAGGGCCTCCGCTCCTGCTCACCAGCCTCTATGCCCCAAAGTGTGAGGGATCCTAGATTTAAATGCAGGCTGCCCGAGAATAGGAAGAGCCTTGTGGAACTGGCAGCCACAGCTGGGATGTCACATGCCAACCCTTTCACCCCACCAAGGTCATTACTATGGCAAAAAAAGTGCCCAGTCCAATTCCCATTTTGTCTATACGTTTCCATTAATCACGTTGTTGGATTCAAGTGTGTCTCTCCCATCACCGTGCATTGTGGATGCCTCTTCTTTCCACGTCTATGGAACCAGCAGATAAAGGGAGCTCAGACCACAGCCAGTGCACAAAACCGAACATCTGTGCTTCCAGCAACACGTACTCACCGACGTTGGTGATGTAGAGAGGAAGCCAGAAGAGGAACGTGTAGCTGACCAGCTTTGCGAAGAGCAGACACAGGGAGAACTCGACCACACCCTGAAAGAGAGAGCGCTTATCCCAAAGGTGCACTCACTGCCTTCATTCAAATATGCTACCGAGTCACACTCCCCAGCCTTTCATGCAACACCCGCAGCTCTGGCCTGGTGCTGGCACCTCAGGTGGGCAGGGAGAGGGGCACGTGTGGCTATACTGTGCAGCCTAGGACGTGGGATCACAGGACAACTGCCCAGCAGGCTCTTACAGCACATGGCTGCCTTTTTGAAACACAGTGTGAGGCAAACAGACACTGCGGCCTGTTCAGGGCTGAGGCCTCCTGTTTGGATCTGTCCGAGCCGTCATGCTGGCCTGTGCGTTATATAATCACGATAAGCGAAGTTATCAACAGGCCAGTGTCTGTCCAAAGTCCGCACAGACGCCCCTTTCGGAAACTCCCAGGCGCATGTACTCACGGGGATTTTCAAGGCCCCCGTGAAGCTGATGGCGGCCACGCTGTTCCCTCCGTCGGCTGGGAGGGTGACTACGTGGTTCTGACGGACTGAGCGCTTGCCCTCCGACAGCAGCAGGCACTGCATCTCTGGGTCCTGGAGACAGTGGAGGGAGAGGAAAACAAGAGGCCACCAGTGCTGGCTGGTTGCAGGGAGGCAGCACTCCTGATGACGAGGGCTCCACTGAAGTCTTGGGACATCTCGGGAACATTCTCACTGCAGCCGTTGCTTTATTATTCATCTTCATGTGTTTTTAGGAAATACTCACTAAACAGGCAAAACCCTGTGACCCAGCCATTCTAGGGATCTATCTGTGGAAAATAATCTGAACGGTGGAAAACTACTCATACAATAAAATGAATGTCTCCCCACCATGAGAAAAAGTGGTGAAGTCCATTCACATTAATGATACATCTCTCAGTTGTAAAAAAACTAGATTTTAATGACTTGGAAAAAGGCTTATGACACATTAAGTAATAAAACATCATTCCAAACTGCACTTTCATCATGATCTCGAGGAATTTATACATACATTATGTATATTTCTATGTTTAAATACGTACATATATAACTAGGTAGTTATAGAATGTATTTATAGAAAGCTAAATTCTAAACTGGCAATGGTTATCACCAAGCAGTGAAATTACATGTAACTTTTATGAAAATGTCAATAAATCCTTTATACAATCCTGCATTTTTTAAGGAGCTCTCGATGGAGGAAGCGTGCTTTCCGGCTGTGCCCTGGCCCTGCCCCAGAGCGGGAATTCCACAGGAGGAGTATGTCATTCACGCTCACGGCGAGCCGGGCCTAGGGCAGCACCTGCTGCGTGCAATGCCGCAAACACTTGTTGGACGAGTGAATGACTTTCAGAGTTGACTTAAAATTTCTAAGTAAGCTTAGCCTACTATCCAAATAAATCTAACTAGGACAAACTCGAGTTTTCTGAGGAAACAAGAGACCCAGTTTTGTAAGGAACTCGATGCCTGGGACGAGGTCCCCGAGCAGGGACTCTGGCCTCCTGCCCCTTGGCTTGGGTGTGACTCACCAGCAGCTTCTTCTCGTCGGGCAGGGCCTGCTTCTGCAGTCTGAACCTGTGCATGCCGTTCTCGTAGCTTTTTGAATGCTGGAAGGAAAAAAATTAATTAGAACAATTACTGAATCCACAGCCAGAAATGACACCTCACTTCACTGTGGCAGGGATACCTACCATATTCACAAAAAAGCCTCCAAGGGGGAAATGCAAATGATTAAAATAAAACAAAGGCTAATTGGTTTAATCCCAGGGTTCCAGACCCTCAGATAATAGTGAAAATAAACTCTTTCCTGAGGAATAATCTAAGACCGAGGTATGCCATCGGTGGGTTTCACTCCCAGAGTTGCGCGGCCATCACCACGGTCAATCTGACGGCATCCCTCATCCTTCAGGAGGAAGCCCAGCCCATGAGCAGTCACTCGCCTGCCCATGCCCACCCCAACCCTGCCACCGCCAGTCTACTTTCTGACTACGGCTTCGACGATTCTGCAAGTTTTGTATGAATGGAATCCTACAACACGTGACATTTTGTGACCGGCCTCTCACTCAGATTGTGCTTTTAGGGTTCATCCAGGTTGTGGCAAATATCAGTACTTCATTCCTTTCTATCGCTCAAAAATATTCTGTTGTAAGGATCTACCATATTTTATTTATCTATCAACTGGTAGGTATTGTTTCTACTTTTTGGCTACTGGGGATCATGCTATGATGAATATTCGTATCTAAATTCTTCTGTGGACACATCTGCATTTCTCTGGGATGTACCCCTAGGAGTGGAACTGCTGGGTCATGTGGTAGGTAACTCGAACCTTTGGAGGAACTGCCAGACTGTCCAAAGTGGCTGCACCGCCTGACATCCTCGCCAGCAATGTGTGACGGTTTGGTTTGCCATGACCTGTCTTTGATTCTGGCCGTCCTACTGGACAGGAAGTGGTATCTCATTATGGTTTTGATCACATTTCCCTGAGGGCTGATGATATCGAAGAGCTTTCCATATGTTTATGGCCATTTGTATATATTTTTGGAGAAATATCTATTCAGATTCTTTGCCCATTTTTAACTGGATTGTCTCTTTATTACTGAGTTGTAGAGTTCTTTGTATAGTCCAGATACAAGCCCCTCATCATATATATGATTTAGAAACATTTCTTCCATCTGTGGGTTGTCTTTTCACTTTCTTGATGATGTCCTCTGAAGCCTAAATGTTTTAAACTCAGATTAAGTCCAATTTATTTATTTTTTCTTCCACACTTGTGCTCTTTGGTAGCATATCTAAAATGACTTTGCCTAATCCAAGGTCATTAAAATGCATTCATGTTTTCCTCTAAGGGTTTTACAGTTTTAGCTTTCACATGTAGGTCTTTGACCACTTTGATTTTTGTGTATAGCATGAAGCAGGGGTTTAAGTACATTCTTTGCATTTGGATACCCAGGTGTCCCAGCTTTTCCCGCTGGCTGGTCTGGGCACCCTTGCTGAAAATCAGTCGGCCCCCACGACGAGAACATCCATGTCCGGACCCCCGTTTCCCTACTGGTCTACACCTATCTTATGACAGTAACAGAGTCTCAGTTACTCCAGCTTTGCAGTAAATTTTGAAATAGGAAAGTGTGAGTCCTCCTACTTTGTTCTTCTTCGAGAGTGTTTGGTTATTCTGGATCCCCCGAATTCCGTAAGAATTCTAGGCTCAGCTTGTCAACTTCTGCCAAGAAAACCGGTGGGGTTTTGATGCAGGTCACACCGAATCTGTAGTGACTGGGGAACATTGCATCTTAACAATATTAAGTTTGTCAACCAGTGAACACAGGTCTTCTTTAATTTCGTTCAACAATATTTTGCAGTTTTTGATGGATGAGTCTTGTGCTTCCTTGTTAAATCTATCCCTAAGTATTTTACTCCTTCGATGCTACTGTAAATGAGGCTATTTTCTCAATTTCATGTTCAGATTGTTTATTGCTAACATATAGAAATACAACTGATTTCTGTGTTTTACCCTACAACCTTGCTAACCTGTTAATTAGCTCTAATAGTTTTTTGTGGACTTCTTAGAATGTTCTATATGCAAGACTGTATCATCTGCAAACAGAGGAACTTTTATTTCTTTTGTCCAATCAACCCATATGGGCCTGTGCAAGATCTCTTCCAGTGAAAGGATGAACGAGAAACGAAGAGGCCACGCACCCAGCCAGGGTGTCCCACATCTGGGCGGCCAGATGAGGGAGGCCAGCAAAGCACTCTGGGTAGGAATGGCCAGTGTGGTGTCTGGAAGCCCCAGGAAGAGAGTGTTTCAGGGAGGTAGGGAACAACTGTGTCAAATGCCAGTGACAAGTCAAGTGGGGTGAGGCCGAGCATCCCATGTGGTCAGATGCTGCCACTGGGGACCTTGGTAGGCAGTTTTGATGGAATGGTCAAGGCCTGGGGAGGGGAGGGGGAACAAAGGGGAGGGGAGCTGTGCATGTGAAGTCGGGGGGGGGGCGTCTAGGTAAGCAGGGAACCTGGTGTGAAGGCAACAGAGGCTTCATCCAAGGTGGTGACACCAGGTGCTGGAGTAACACAGGAGGGAGGGCAGCGGACAGCACAGGAGAGGGGACAGCAGGAGGGAGGTCCCGAGGCCATGGGAGGGAGGGCTGGCTGGGCAGGCGGGGAGGGCACCGAGTGACTTGGGAAGGCAGGGAGCTGCTGTGGATGCCAGCAGGGCAGTGCGGCTTGTGCCCACTGATTTGCTCAACAACCCAGATAGCAGGGCCAGTCATTCATCAGCTGAGCATGGCAGAGGTCAGAGCAGACGGGTGGCAGCAGGTATTGCACTGACCAGGGAAAGGTGGTTGATGTGCTGGGGAGTCTGGACGGCCTGCCTGACATGTGTCGAGCGCAGTTTAAAGTGACACCAGCCAGCTTACCCCTCCCATCTTTCTGCAGTCACGCTGTGACATCTGTCCAGGGGAAAGCCAGTGTGTCCCCCCTTCTCATGAGGCGTGGCTGGTTCCTGGCCTCTGGTCATCCTCCCCGAGGAAGTCTAACCCAGGCTGTGATGATCAGCCCTTTCCTAAAACTGCCAATATTTTGAGGGTGGGACCTTTGTCTGCTCTTTGTTACCCACTGACACTGCACAGACAGGACCAGGCTGATGACAGTCATCAGACACTTCGCAGACGACACACTGTCCAAGACACAAGAAGTGGAGAGCGAGTGCTTACCGCCACCAGGGTGGAAGAGCAGGCAATGTCCTTCGGATCTGAAACACCAAACATGCAACAACGTGTCAACCCAGAGCCAGTTTTTCTTCCAACGCAAAAACTTAACTGAAACAAGACCCATCTAGTACTTTTGCCCAATTAGCAGCAATTTCAGAAAAGAGACAATGTCCCAGGCAGCATGTCTGGTGGGGTGAGGGCGCAGGGTGGCCATTCACAGAGAACCCACGCGCCCCCTGCCCTCGGTCTCCGGGACTGTTTCGGCCCCTTGGACCTCAGCAGGGAGGAGCAGGAACCCGCCACCAACAAGTGCACAAGTGGGCAGGAGCATGAAGCCTGCTGAGCCATAGGGCAAGCAGGTCCCGTGTGACACACAAGCCGGCCACACGCACACAGCGGTGACAGCCACACGAAGCACACTTGAGGGAGGAGAACCAGAAGGAAATATAAAAACAGTTAAAGCATTCCAGAGTAGAAGTTTACAAATAACATTTGTGATGAGTTAATGGAATTAATTAGAACTGAAAATTAGTGGGGACCAAACATCCATCTTGGTATAGAATAAAGTGCCCTTTATCTAAATGCCAGGGAGGAAGGACATGTGGGAAGGTAACAAAACTCGAGGCTAGGCTTTTCCATCTTGTTCCTTGAAAATTACTCAGTATATTTGGGCACCAAAGACCAGGACACACTGATGAGCTGGGGGAAGCAAACCCCATCTCTTCAAAGTCCAGAGGCTGCCTTTTAAACAGCCTGTTCCCTCCCCACCACCCAGAGTTCTGGTCTTGTTATAACTTCTGCTGAAATGGTTTAACTGAGCTTCCAGCAGCTGAGTTCCTTCCCAGTGACATGGAGGGTGACGCCGCGGTGGGGCCCTGCCGAGCACTTTCTGTTGGTCTGGAGGCGCCTCCACGCTCACCCTGTACGGGCCACAGGGATGGCACTGCCGGTCCCAATGGCCCACCTGAGAGGTGCGGTCACCACTTAGAGTGACGTCAGCAGCTCACCCAAAGGGTTTGCTCCAGCCACACTGTGACCACCGCTCCCAGGGTGAGTCAGGAGGCCTCTGCTCCCCCCGAGGCTGGGCCAGTCCCCTACCAGAGGCTTCCCCGGGGCTCTCACCCTGCAGGACATTAGCACACACAGCCCCCAGCTAGGACACGTCCTAGAGCTGTCTCACAGGCAGACACGAGGGCCCACAGTGGGGCCTCTGTCCTCTGGGCCTAGCCCTGGGCAGGAAGGAGGGCAGGAGGGAGCCCAGCCCCTGCTGCTGGTCACAGGAGGGGGGGGGACACTGCCCGGAGCTGCTGCCGCCCAGCCCCACCCCACAGTCACTGACCACGGCGAGGAGGGAGCAGAAAGGAGCCAAGAAACCTGCGTAATTTTATGAACCAACGCCGCCCCAGTAAATTCAATTAAAAAATAAAATTTAAAAAGGTTATTTAAATGGAAAAATATTTTTAAAAAATTGAACCCACAAGAACCCATCCCAAGGACCTAAGGGGTCCACAGCCAGAGTGTAAGAAAGTCTGACGAGGTGAGCTGGCCCCTGGTTGCACCCCAACACCCCCATTTCCTGAGTGACCTTGGGCAGGTCAGTCAGCACCCTGAGCCTCAGGCCCTTTCCCTGGAGATCCACCGCCTGGCTGGAGCCTGGAACACGGGCAGCCCTCCATGTGCGCACCCCCCCTCCTGGAAATGCCCCATCCGACCGGGGAGGAAGAGGGGCTGCAGGGCGCGTGCTCATTGATTATTAGGAAGGGTCTGGAGCCAACCTTAGGTTTTAGCAGGAGGTGTAGACATGACCTCAGGGCAGAGCCATGCCCGTGGGAGACAGGAGAGGGAGGGCTGAAAGGAAAGGCCATCAGCAGAGGGGGGAGAAACGCCAAGTCTCGAAGGTGCCGGTGGGCCGTGAACCAGGCTCTGGGGACCGGCCTTAGCAGAGGCTGGGGGAGGAGAGAGGGTGCAGCCTGGGTGGTGTGACAAGGACAATCACCTCCAGAAGCGATGAGCCATAGAAAGCAGTGCCCCGGATGCAGAGCGAGAGCAAGGACCAGGTACTGAGTGAGATCAACCGGGAGGAGCAGGCTCTGGCGGGAGCCTAGGGTGCACTGAGGACACTGTGCCCCAAAGCATGACAATGCGGGGAGAGGAGACAGGAGTGGGGTGGGCAGGGAAGGAGGGGCAGTGGGAGGGACTTTTTGGTGGCAACATAAAGAACAGGGAGAGGGGACTCATTGAGGATCTTGTGGAACCTTGAATGAATTTAGTAATAAGGCAGGAGGCTAAGACTGTAGTAAGAAAAGCCACCAAGCAGAGGAATGGGAAAGCAGGGGCGGGAGGACAAGCTCTGTGGCCAGGCCTCCAGTTCCCACCACCCGCCTGTGGCTCCTCAACACTCCCTGCCAGTGCCAGCTTGTCGCCAGGGAGAACCAGAGAAGCAGGAGGCACGAGTACAGGCTGGATGTGCTCAGCTGTCCCCCCACATCAGTAAGACCTAGGTCAAGCTTACAGGCACAGACTCCTGCTTAAGCCTGGTGGGCTGGGGGAAGCTGAGAGATGGTATTTTTTGTCCCAAGGGTGGACCCGGGCAGTGGGGGGGAAGAGCTCCAAGGTCGCCACAGTACCTGGGGAGGGAAGCCAGCAGAGTGACCCCTGGAATAAGAGGAAGATGACAAGAGGTGATGGGAAATGACAGGAAGTGATGGGAAGGCAGCTCCAGGAGAGCCCTCCATTCAGAATCTCCGCATCGCTCCCCCCTTGCCAATCCCACAGCCTGCAGAAGCCTCAGGGGCGGTGGCTCAGTGGTGGGGAGGCTCCCACTTTATTACAAAAGACCAAAGAAAAGCTTTCTTGTTTTTGGAAGTCCTGCCCTGAGCCTGGCCGGCCTGGCCAGGATGCCTAAGCTGAGCAGGGCTGGCACTCAGAGCCCAGGCAGGCCTGCAGCCAGCTCACATCTACTGCCACACACGCCCCATCTGCTCACGTCGCCTCCTTCCCCGCGCACCAGCCTCTTATCAGCTGAGGAAGAGATAAAGGCCACTGTGGGTTCCAGACCTTGGGCAGGACAAACGCACCCAGGGGACCCTGTGCCAGGGAAGAGGAAGTGCACTGTTCTCCAGGTGACTGGGTGGAAGGAACACCCCGCAGAGCCCAGGGGACAGATCTCCAGGTGCTGGGGAGCCAGCCTGGAGGAGAACAGGTGGCACGAATGGCTTTTCCCAGAACTCCAGTGACACTGGCGGTGCAGTTAAGTGCGTGTGAGTGGAGCTCTGACACACAGCAGCTCCAGCAGCATCCGTGTCTCTACCGTTAGGGGGACTGAGAAGCCTTCTCCTGCTGCATCTCTATTTTAAAAATTAATTTGAAATTTAATTAAAACAAGTCTGGTATTGAGTCTAGAACAGAACACTCTTCACCTAATTAAGATATATGGTTACCAGTGGCGCCATGGTTTTACATTGTCCAAGGTATATCTTATCAGAAAGCAAACAAGTGGAGCAGGTGCAGCCCCGTGGGCCAGGTGACACGCCCCTGGAGGTGAGCGACGTGGCAGGCCGGAGAAAGTCGAGACTCCCAGACACCGGGAAGCCACGTATGCCCGAGGCTGGGAGTGGGAGGACGGGGTAGAAGGAATTCCAACCTGCTACTCCAGAAATCAGGGAACAGCAGAAAACCCAGCATGGCGAGGAGAGAAACAGTGGGGAAGGCAGGCTACACCTGAAGGCAGTCTACCCGGCGAGGGGAGAGGCCACACGCCTGCACAGGACTAAACCACTGTCCCCTTAACTTCTTCCCGAAGCCCTCCCAGGCGGGTCATCTTCAGGCCACGGGTACTTACGCTCGATGAGAAAGAGGAAGCACACGATCCCCATGGCTGCCACGATGGCACCAGGCACGATGAAGGACAGGCCCCAGCACGTGGACACCCAGTAGCCAGCAATCAAGGACCCCAAGATGTTGCCCACTGAGGTGTGGGAATTCCAGACCCCCATGATCAAACCTCGCCTGCAACACAAGACACGGGCGATGCTGAGAAGCTTAAGTGTAGGACATGGCGGTGTGCGCGTCCTGGGAGCGCTGGCCCAGGAACAGAGGCAGCGGGCACTTCTGCGAGACCAGCGCTGAAGACGCTGACGAGAGAACTGGGTTCACTTCACCGCGGAGATGTATGTGCATAATCACCCGTCTCTCTCAGAGCTTCTTTATTTATGATTAAAAAAGAGGAATGGGGCCTTTTCCTGCAGCTCTTTGGAAGGCCCCAAATTTGAATTTGTGCCTCTGCAGACTGAATCCAATCATTAGATGAACTAGCCCATTAACGTAGGTTTCTGCTGAGGACCTGTCGGGTGGGTGGAATAGCTAAATGAGGCTCCATGAGCTGGTTTCTGTTTCAGTTTCCTGTCTTCTTTAGTGGCTCCCCACACTCCTAACCCTGGCTGGGCCCGGGCTGTGTGTCACACAGCATTACAGTGTCACCTGGACTGGCAGTCAGATCAACAGAGGCTGAGTGCATCTCTGCTACCAGGCACGGGGTGGCTCGTCAGGACCTGCCACACTTCCATGTGCCCTTGAGCCTTATTTTTAATGTAGCTTCTACGTCAAAAGGCCGGGGCAGGGCTCTGTCCTCTGCGCGTCTCCCAGGTTCCCAGGAGGCCAGGAAAGGCCATGCTGCTGGTCAGCTGTGCAGAGTGGCACAGACCCACCCCCGCCCACAGCAGGGAGGGCATCTCCTGGGACAAAGGCCATCTGAATTCCAGAACCTCAAGTCTCAGAAGTTTTAATCATCTTAAATCAAATAATAGACTAAAGTGGTTTTTTTTCCTACAATAAATCTAAAGTCTTTAAAAAAATATTTTAAAAAATAACACTGCTGGAAACAGGGTGGCCTTTTCTCAGCTTCTTTTAAAAAAATATTTTGTTTTTCAATTACAGTTGACACTCAATATGATTTTGTTTTAGTTTTGGTGTACAGCACAGTGGTTAGACAAGCACAGACTGTACAAAGCCTCACCTTCCTTTTCCAAACCAGTTGCTGAGGCAAGTGACAACGCTGGGCCAGCCGGTGGTCTGCACCAGTCCGTTGATGATCTGCGGCAGAGGGCGACAGGGGCCTCACCTCGAGGAAAACTCAGTTTTCAGGAGGGGCTCAAGGACGCTGCCCCTTCTCTGTTCTTCACAAGTTTGGGAGCACAGCTGGGACTCGCACAAAAAGAAAGGGGCCAGACTCTCTTTGATGTGAGTCCCAAGAGCCAAAGATTTTAAACTAAATACAGAGTTACAAATGTAATATATACCTACTGTGAAAATGTTGGAATAAGCAGAGAAAAGAAAGAAAAGAAAATTTCTTGCTAGAAGATGAACTACTATTAACAGCCTGGGGCCAAGGGTTTCAATTTCTGTCTAATCTAACCTTTATAAAAAGAGAAAAAGTGGTCTTTTCCTAGAACTGTGATTTTATTATTAATAAGGCTTGCAAATTGCACGCTTCCACTTTTTATGTCATGAAGAAGGTGCTGTTGTTAGTGATCCTCTAAACCGAGCTTAACCTTGACCTGAAGCCTGGAGGAAGTATTCCCCCTTTCCAGGAGCACCCTGAGCTTACATTTCAAGAAGGGATTTAGCAAGTGCATGGTGAATGGGTTTGCCTTGGTTGCAGGAGCGTCAGGGGCAACTTTACAGACAACATGAAACCAGGTCCAGCCCAGTGCTTCCTACAACCACCACTGGACAGACCTGCTCTGCAGTAGCCATCTGGGGGCCACTCTCTGGACCAGCCTCAGGGCAGCCAGGCTGGCCTTTCCCCCAGGAGTGTGCTGGAACTCTGGGAAATTGTTTTTTCCTCCCTTCCTTCTAATTTTATATATTACTATAAAATGTAAATCGCTTTTGTAATTAAAAGTCACACTTTTTCAAGGCCTATGGCAACATTTAAAAAGCAAATTATGTCTAATTTGCTTTGATGATTTTATAACATATACACACACACACATACCCAGGCTATCTGGAGAGCCTCAAAGGCTGAGCTCATTATTTTAAGTCATTTTCCATTTCTAGTAAATATCTGTCCACAGGAATGTTGGGATGGGTAGTAGCCAAACGTTTCAGGAAGGGCTGGGCCCAGTTGGAAGGCAAAGTCACAGGGCCTGTCTGGGTCTTCACCTGCTTTGAGCACCCTCAGGCTCTCTCCTTCCCCTGACCACCTCCAGTCCTGTCCCACTGCCAAGGATGCCCAAGTCCTCCCTTCCCCCTGCCCTCGCTACACCCCACATCCTTCCAACTCCCAAGTGCTCCACTCTGTTACAGGACAGAACATCTAGAACTCGTCCAGATGAAGGCAGAGGGGCTACTGCTTTGATTCCCTGCTGGGGTTTGGGCAGATAGGATTTAAGAAGTGACTCCTGAAACTTAAGGACAACTGCACGGCTGCTGGAATTTCAGAGAAGACAGAAAGACTTCACATGTCAGCGCTGACCCTTACGTCGGACAGGACACAGGTCTGCTGCGCGACCCACCCCAATTCTATCACCTGCCATCTTCTCTCTTGGTGGAGGCAGGGACCCATGACATGAACCCCATCCAGCTCATCGTGGAAACCCCACAGGTGGTGAGCCGTGGACCCAGACCTTACCTGAGTTACCACGTAGAATCCAAAACTGTGGATGTCGTAGAAATACCCTAACCCAAACAGGGCAGTGAAGATGCCACTGGCCAGCATCCCGAAAGTTAGGTAATACCTGATTGGCAGGCGCTCCCCTATTATGCCACTGAGAAGAAAGAAGAGACAGATCTGAGGAAGCAAACGCACCCAGAGTGTAAACGACCCCGCGGCTTCTTTCCGGGTGTTTCCATCCTGTTTCCTGAGCTTTAGGACTCCAAAGCCCTACAGTTTCTGAGAAGATTTAATCAGAGAGTTTCCCAACAGAGCATTTGTTAACCAGAAACTGTTAATTGGCAACATGCTTGAATACATTTTATTTCTAGTAAGAATCACTAACTGTCAAATAATAAACCTCAAACCCCATGGCTTACACATAGGATGGCTGACAATAAAAAAACCCTCAAAACTTGTCCTGCTGGTTAATCCTGCTTTTATATAAACAGCATCCAGTTAAAATTTCAACTGTCACATTGTAGACAAATATCTTAAAAAGGGGTCACCTACGACCATGAACAAGTCTCTGGGCCCTTGAGCTGCCATTATGTCACCGCATTAACAATATGGGGCCCAAATTTGATCTCTACTTAAAAGTTTTAGAAGAAAAGGCTTGATGGAATGGTTAGCATTCCACATTACTGTCGACTCATACAGGCACTGGAGGCCACACCACACCTGCTGGCACCTGCCAGGGCGGACCTGGGCTGATGACAGTGCCCACCATGTCTGATTTTATCTGCTAAACTACACAGTCCACGAGCTGGTGTCACTAAAAGGCCATGCACACCCTGGCTGCAGTTGTGAGTCCACTGTGGACTTCACATGAGACAGATTCTCATAATAACCCTCACTGGCAGGCTGCGTGAAAAATGACCACCAATAAATAGGAAATAATGTAACCGCTTCATTTAAACCTGGTGTCCTATCCTTGGCACTCTTGCTATCCTGGGCTGGTGACTCTCGTGGTGAGGGGCTGTCCTGCCTGCTATACATGTTAGCAGCACCCTAGTCTCTGCCCACCAGATGCCAGTAGCACCCTTTCTCCAGCTGTGACAACCAAAAATGGCCCCAAATATTGCTCTATGTTTCCTAAGGGACAAAATCCCTCCCAGCTGAGAAGAACATTCAAACACTGTTTTCTAGTAACTGAGAAAAACGTACTCCAGTTTGTGGGTGTTTTATTCTATGGGTTATTGGTGCCCAGTGGGATCAATCTTTAAACTGTAAAAATTATTCCTCAAGACAGAACGTGGCTGCAGCCCACTGCTCATCAGTCGGGCTCAAGCTCTGCTGTGCGCCACCAGCTCCAGGCTTCCCTGTCCTCTGCTGTCCACGTCTGCAGCACTGTGCAAATATGCAAACACAACAGAGGAAGGCCACCCACTCCAGCAGAGGAAGCTGCCTGGCTGGGCACCACCCACCCACAGGGGTGCTGGGCCAGGGTTGGGGGGGGCTCCCAGGTCCTAATGACACCACACTCTGGGGGTGTCAGAAGTGGCTCAGCATTGACAGAATCCCTGAGATTCTCGAATCTCTAAAGGTCTCAGTCTCTGAACAAAAGCCTCTTGGGCTAAAGGCCTTAGTCCCTATTATGCTATTTTTTTTCCAACCTGATTGGACAGACATAATACCAGTATTCAACCCACCCCTCACACATCCTGTTACCCACTCAACACCACCTTTCTAGGTCAGTTCAAGAATGGGATCAAGGGGAACCCAGGATAATAGTTGTGTGTGACAGACGCCGGGCATGCACCATGTGCCTGAGTATCCTCAGGCATTAGCTCATTAATCCCCCCCCAGTCCTGTGAAGTAAGAACTACTATTTCCCCCACTGTGCAAAACTATGTAGTAACTTGTCCATGGCCATGTGAGGAGGTGCTGAAGCTGGGATTCTGACCCCAGCAGTGTGTCTCTATCCACACCCCAGCCTGTATCCACACCCCAGCCACCAGGCCGAGTAGCCTCTGTGCTCAGGTGAGGAGCTGTGTGTGTGGAGCGGGGTGTGCAGGCAGACACATTCTGTAAACTGTGGAATTAGTGATATGGGACACGTAACCAGAGGCAAGGGTGCGCTCTGCCGAGCATCATGGGGAGCTGCCAGTACCCTGTCCCTAAGGGACCTCATCCTGGCAGGGCTCGCTGTGCGTCCTAAACCCAAGGGCCAGGGAAGCATCCACGGACAGCTGCCCTGATCAGCAGAGTGCCCAGGTCCTCTACCTGCTCTGCTCTGTGGTGGCGCCGTCACAGCCACGGCAGTGGATGCTGGCTCCCACTCCTTCACTGTCTCTGAGAAGAGACTGGAAGGTAAGCGACCTGCGGGTGGGACCTAGTGTCACACATCCTGCCTACATCAGTGTGCCTGAGAATGTCTATACTGAATGGTATACCTGGCCAGGGTCCAGCCAACTTGAGCAGACCTACCTCAGGTACATGCCAATGGCGTAGGCACACAGGAAGGAGTAGTCCAGGGCCCCGAGCAGCTGCTGGTAGTTGTCCCGATCTGCATGGGTGAAAATCCACAGGTGAAGGTGAGCAGAGCTTAGTTGATGCTAAGTGTTAGTGCACATCCTTGACTGGGGCAATGAATGATAAAACCTCTGCTCTGAGCAAGGCAGTGTGCACAAAGGAGGGACAGATGGGGCAACACAGTTTCTGTGGGGCTGTTTGGCAAACGGAAATACAGTCACTGTGTTCCAAACAACCACTCAGCACTCATTATTTACATGAATAAACCCACATGGCTCAGGGTGAGCATGGGTTTCTTCGTTTCCTTCTGCACTCGCCCAGGCCAGCCCCCACCAGGCGTGTGGTCTTTCCCTTCCATCCACAGTCTGCTCTGCGCCTGAGCTTCCAGCTCTGACAATACAACATGCAGACCATGGTCAGCAGGTTTCCCACTAAGAGAATCTCTGTGCTGGTGGTAACACCTCTGCAAACAGGCCCCGTAACACAGCAGTGGCTGGAGGGGTGGGAACCGTGGGAGGACAGAGCCCCTCGGAGACCCAGTTACCCCCAAGCATATGACACTGCCACTGGATCAGCAAGGCCTGAGGAGTCGGGCCACACCAGCGGTCTCCCAGCACTCCCGTCTGTGGAGGAACCCTCCCTGCAGGGACTGCGCTTCGGAACTGCACGGACACAGAGAACTCACCAAATGGGGCCCAGCCGCAGTCAGTCTCATTACCCAGGTGAAAGGGGGTATCACTGGCTTTCTGGCTCTGGCTGTTGAATCTGACTTCAGCCCCATTCACGGCAGCACAGTACTTGTGGAGCTCACCCTAGGACATCCCCGGGAAGACAGAGGCAGAGAAAGTGAGCTCACGTGCGGTCCAGCAGGGATGCCCCATCTTACCAGCCTTCCCAGTACAACTGGTTCTAGGTGGAGGCAGTCACCACAGGGGCAGTCTGCCTGCGGGACCCACAGAACGTGAATGCTGGCGGGTAAGGATTCTCGGGCTTGCCAGCAGCCCACCTCCTGAGCATACACAGAACAAATACAAGAGTGTCCAGGGCCACCAAAGACGACTGCTCAGAGCAGCTTTGCAGCTGGAAGCTGACTGCCCGTCATCCTCGGACCGCCTGCCCAGAAAGGACCGATGGAGTCGTCCTGCTAGGTGGATATGGCTGAACGCTGCAGTGACACACGGAAACAAGCACCAGGCCCATGCAGCGAGGAGCACGCCCTCACAAACAGTAGGCCTGACACAGAGCCAAAGGGCAGGACCCTGTTTCCATTTATGACGTCCGAGAACAGGAAAATGAATCCATGGCACCCTTGGTGAGAATCCGAGTTATCTGGAGGCGGGTAGTGGTGAGGGACAGGGCACAAGGAGCTTTCTGGGAGCTGGCGAGGGGCCAGAGCTCAGCCAGGTGGTATTTCCTGGGTGAGCATGTAAATATTTGTCCTGGCATGGTACACGGCTGGGCTGCGCTGTGCTCACAGGGCTGTCATCATCACTGGGACACAGCCCTAAAAATCTAGCCAAGGCTTCTGCTTTACAAAGTATCTGTTTGCCAAATAGCCTTCCTCAGCAGCGCTTGTCTGCCCGGGGGCTGGAGGCCTCCTCTTGGTGGGGGAGCCCTGTCTCTGCCCTGCCTGTGCTCACTCCACCAGGGTGACCGTGCGGGGCTGTGGACATGGCCGGGAGCTCGGGTCAGAGGCAGGGTGGGGTGGGGGCGCAGCCCTTCCTTTCTGCATGAAGCTGGCGTTTCCCACACTTCCCATTTGCCCCATTTTATCTTTTTCCTCTTCACCTTCGAAGCCAGGTGTTCCCGCCCTCCTGCTGCATCTCACGGAGGCCCTGCTGCAGACCCGAGGTGTCACTGAGCCGCTCAGTCCAGCTTTCAGTAGGAAAGCCACAGGCCGGGAGGGAGCCGGGCCAGGGCGGGAGCGGGCTACCCCACATGGGAAAGGGATTCCGACACCCTTTCACCTTTTGATACTCCCGGGGAGGAACCAGCCATGGGAAATATGAAGGAGCAGATATGCCCACCTTCCGTTTCATAAACAAGCAGAACAGCCATTGTGCTTTGTTTTGTCCTGCGAGCAAAGGCAGCCTAGCCTCCTGGTCAGGGACTCAGGCTCTGGTGCCACGTGCTGGCTTCTGACCTTGACCACGTCACGTGACGCATACGTGAGGCACACTGTCAGTTACGCGGCCAGTGTAACCCAGCCCGTCCCTGTGCGGCCACAGAGGTGAAGCGTGTACGAGTCTCCCCACGCTGCCTCTGTCCCAGCGTCGCCCGCCCCCCCTGGGCTGGTGGCTTCATGGTGATGCAGCCCCCCATCGGTGCTCCAGGCATCTGTCCCACAATCCAAACCCAGCCTTTCAAGGTCAACCCTGGACCCCAGAGAGGCTCCCCAACCACTCTGCTCCTTCAGCTCCATGGTGTTCCCTGAGGCTCTGCAAGGGTCCCTTCCATTTTTATAAAGTGCCCTTCTCCGCGGCTGTCAGTGTACTTCCCTAACCAGACGGAGGAGAAGCAGTCATTAAATGACTGGCTGGTCATCGGCACTGGCTTCAGAGTCACTGGTTGAGCTGATGCATGTTATTAAGGCCCACAGTCTCTTTTCCCATCCTTACTTTCTTTTAAAAACCACATATTGAGAGGTCTGCAAACATTTCCAGTCATTAAAACTTGATATGTCAAACAAGTGAAGAGTTTTGCAAGCAACTTGAAGGCCTGGAAAAGTCCTGCTCACAAAGAGTCGGGAGGAATTTTAGAATTCTGGAATGAATGGACGATGTCCGACACACGCTGGGAGCTCCCGGAGAAGGGAACCTAGAACCGTCCAGACGCAATGGCCTCGGCAGGGCCGCTCCTGCCGCCTGGGACTTCGGGGGCAGCTGTCTAGCACTCGACCGACCACTCACAGGGAGCGGAGCAAGCGAGGCTATAGAGGGCAACAGACTGCAGTGCTGGTCTATGGCCCCGCCAAAGACCGGAGGTGAGGGAGGGGCCATCAAGCTGTAAATGACTGTCTTTGGCAGTGGACAGTTTCCTTGTTCCTTCTACAGCAAAGAGTCAAAGCCACTCAAGCCTGCTGACAGTCTATACACAAAATGATATAGTTCCAATGAGGGTCAGAAAATTATCTTGCTTTCCCCCAAGTTATAACTGGCTGTTATGTAGAACCATGTCCTTAAATCTTCTTTACTCAAAGTCTAGTTAAATGCTGCTTAAGGGCTGCCTGCCCGCCTGTCACTCAAGCAGACCCCTAGTGTCCTGAGAGTAATGGAGCCACCACCACAGCCTGGCTCAGGAGCAAAACATGATGATCACAGAAGTGACTTGGGAACAAGTTAAGATTGGACATTTTGGAGAGAAAATTCACACAAGACAAAAATAAATGTTTAATTAAACTTTAGAATTCTGAAACTGTCAACTAATATAAAGTATACTACCTCTGAAAGCATAAATCCTAAAAATGTTTTAAAGATTTTAATTTCAGAAGAGAGAAACTAAGAGCAAGGTGCAAAATAACTTGCTTCTACACAATCAATTTTTTCCATTTATCACTCCCACTATCCCACCCCCCACTCCCACCCCAGCCCTCTCCCTGCCAGTTGCCTCTTAAAGTAGCTGGTTCCCTCCAGAGATCACAGGCAGGGTAGAAAGCGAAGTGCTTCATGATTTCTTACCTTAACTATGCTGATAGGCTTCCGAGATAAGTGGAAGCTCGCATACAGCAAATATGTCAGAATGAAAGTGAGGGCTCTGTACCTGAAACACACAACAGGAGTAGGAAATGACATCCAATAACGAGCTGCAGGAAGAACACGCGATAGCTGTAATTCTGAAATTCCCTAATGCTGCGTGTTAATCATTCAGCCCCATATCAGTGATCAATCCCACTTATATCACTATAATATTAGAAAGTGGGACTTTTGCTCTGTCCAAATTGAAATTATTTAAACATTCATTTAAAAAACTATAATCAGAGAGAAATCTGGGACTCATAAGATGAACGTGTTTACAAAGCAGACAGAAAGGAGTGATTATGTAACTTGAAACAAAATCAATAGCAAGCTTCTTGTAAGCCTGCTATCCTGGGCACCGAAGATCATGTTTTCTACTTTTTAGCTTCTGTGCAACTTTTCCAAAGGACACAAGCAAAGCAGAGACACAAATATCTCACCGACCTCAGTGATGCTGACAGGCTATGAATAAGCCGACAGCATAAAAATACTAGCTGAGGCCCTGCTGCCCTTTCTGGTTTATGAGCAAAGTAGTTCAAGGTGGTGGGGGAGGGGGGCAGTGTTGAAATATATGAGAATCTAAAGAAAAGAAGATACTTTAGTAAGGAAATAAAAGTTCATTCCAGTCTCAAAATGTGAAACATACTAAGGAAAACATTTATTAGGGGAAATGTCAGGAGGGCAAAGTGTTTGGCAGAGATGAAGACAAGGCCCCCAAGGGCAGGTCCTTCTGTGTCCTGAGACCCAGCCCCCTCCCGCAGAAGAGTCCTGTTTCTGGCCTGAAATGGCCAATGACTTTCCAGCCGAGTGGTGGCTGGAATCTATAATTACCCAGGACACGGGCAACGGAGATAGAAGAGAGACAGGCAGGGGCCCAGTCCGCAGGGGAGCCATGTCTCCTGGGCCTGTGGCGGTGCCGGGCCCTCCTCCAGTGTCGAGCCCGCGGTTGAGATTTACTCAAGGGCAGCTTCGTGAATAACATGAAGAACCCTGGGGGTGCCTGCCTCTGGCCAGGAGGGGACAATGATATTTCTGGATTTAAAAAACTCATATATATCATATTTCAGGTGGGAAACACGGTTGGTGGGACCATGGGACTAGAACTTACAACTGCCAGGATACCTGTGCCTTAGGGAGAGGAAAACACTCAACAAGCACTTGAGAAAAGAGTAAGGAGGGGCCCCCACATGCTCCTCTTCATCAAGGAGACACACATGGATGGTTTTCCCAGGTTACTTTGCTCCTCAAGCCCATGCCAATGACCAGATAGGAAAAAGTAAAGCCATAAAAAATGAGTGTATATTTTATCCCAATGAACAAAGACTAAGGAGGCACAATGGGTTTGTTATAAGTCCAGGCCTTTGTCCTCATGTTTCTGAAGACCATCTGTTTGGGTCAGGAATGAAGTCTCTCAGTCCTTTGCTTGAAGCTCTCTGTTGTCCAACCCACAGCTCTGAGGTCCCTGGAGTTGCCAGCATAGGAAGATTCTAGGCCATTAGAACTCTGTAAGCCCTTGATACCCAAATTTCCAGCCCACAGGTAGATTCACTGGTCACATATATTCGCACTAGATGTAAATTACTAGGGCAAGTGCAGTCTATAGGGAACCCTGCCCTGCCCCTATTTGGGTACAGGGGTCCTTTTTCCAGGCTCCACAAGGAGTATTTTGAAAAAATTCTCAGACTGGGTTACCTTTACACCTCCCCTGTCAGAGTTTGAAGGAAGACTGTGGTGCCCCTAAGGATGCTGCACACTGCCAGGGACAGGTGTGTGCTCCACCAGAAGTCTGAATTTCATGATCGTCCAGCTAGGAAGGATTTCAAGCAGGCAGCTCTACTTAAATGAGCCTTGGGTTCATGCTCTCTACCCAGACATAAATAGAGCACTCTACTTATAAATATTCTACTTTTATTAAACATATTAATATATTTATAAAATAGAATAACCCAGGAGTAAAGAGCTCTTCCGTATGTTTAGACATGTCTGAAGAGCCCTGGGGCCCTAATACACTTGCATTCTTAGATAGGCAAGCTGTCTAGGTTATCGAAACCTAGGGGGCATCCCCGGGCCTCTGCCTCCATCCCTGGGCCTCCACCTCCATCCCTTGGCCTCCACCTCCATCCCTGGGCTTCTGCCTTCATCCCTGGGCCTCCACTTCCATCCCTGGACCGCTGCCCCTTCTCTAACTGGTGGCCCTGCAGCACTGCTCACCAGCACTGGGCACAGGACAAGGTGGTTCTAGGACTGTGCCTTGTTGGGGGATGCTGAGAGGAGCACGTGCCCAGGGATGCTCCATGAGCACATGGCCAAAGAGGGGAGCAGCATCCACTTCCAGCTGAACTGAACTGCCAGCTCGGTTTTGGATGGAAGTGAAATAACTGGATGACTCAGCCAGCAGGTTGCCAGGCTCCCTAAGGAAACCTTTTTATTTCTGTGGATCATCCTGGGTTATGGAACTAAAGCCCTAAACAACCGTTCTCAGTCCTTTGCCCACTCTGATTCTATCTTCACTGTCTTTCCTCTCTTATTCACAATGCAAAGTTTCTGGACGGTGTTTGTTTCGTTGTATCCATCTTGGACTGGGTTGCACACTATACCCCTAAATTTATGTCCACCTAAAATTCTCAGAATGTGACCTGATTTGGACATAGTCTTGCAGATGTAATTAGTTAAGTTGAGGTCATACTCAACTCAGGCATGACCTCAAATCCAATGAGATCCAAAATCCAGTGACTGATGTCCTTATAGAAGGACCCGAGACAAAGGAAGGCTATGAGACATGAGAGGCACTGCCAGGAGTGCCAAGGACTGCCAGCCACCGTCAGAGGCTGGAAGAGGCAGGAAGGGTTCTTCCCCAGAGCCTGCAGTGGGAGTGTGGCCCTAATGACACCTTGACCTCAGACTTCCGGCCTCCGGAACAGTGAGAATAAATGTCTGTGATTTAAGCCACACAGTGTCTGGTACTTTGTCACAGCAGCCCTAGGACACTAATACAGTTCTCTACTTTCTGTGTTTTGTTACATTTAGGCTGGTAAATATTAAGAAAGTACAATTAAAAATGAATGATCTAAACCTTTCACTCATTGGTGTTCCACCTACTTTTAGTGGTTGTGCTTGACCCTAGCATTCTTTGCATTAGGCAATCCTGCAGGAATAGTATTTGGGTGAACCCCAAGTTTCTAGAAAAACAGCCCATCTTGGCCATGGTAGCACAGAGCAGTGGCACCTCCAAAGCTTCCTCAGAAATGCTCCCGGATGCACAGTAGCCACTCCACAGTAAAGACCCAATGCAGACTGTTTCCTCCTTTGAGTGCCATTTATCTCAGTCATATGCAAATAAGGAATCAGCAAAGCCTATATGAGAGTTACTGAGCAGTATGACTTGGCATAGACATCAGCCCAAAGACATGCTTAATTTTGAAACAATGAAACCACACACAGCCAGGAAGTGAGTCCTTTTCAGAGCGTCCTGGGGGGAGGCACATGCCCTCGGTGACGTCAGCACTAGTCACTTGGTTAAGGGGCTGTCTGCCAGATCCCCCCTTGGGAAGCTACAACCTTTCCCTCTAAGTAACGAGTAAGGAATTTGTGGGAATACACTTTGAGGTTAAGTAAATAGCTTGCTTTCCCCCAAGAGTGTGTGTCCCCTAAAGACCCTCACCTAAGCTAAGCATTGCTAATGGTGACAGATGGCTATCTAGGTTCCTGACACTCCCACTCTCTTGAGAAGCTGGCATTCTGCTGTGGGCAAGAGCTTTCCTTTCTCAGTTTTCTGCACTTACTGAGTTATAGCCGCATGGACTCACTGGGTCCCAATTGTGTTTCCTAGTATCCATTACTATTATCGATTCCTTTAAATCTCAAACCATCCCAGATCTGGCAGAGAGAGCCCCTTTGTTTTTAAGCAGGTCCTTGTTTTCTGGAGCAAGATATTCCTGGCTCCTCTTACTTCCCCTGCCCAGTGCTGACACAGCCCAGTCTCCACAGATGCCCATTTCCTTCCATGGGAAACGGCTTGTAGAAACCAAGATCTAGCACCAGGTGTGCTCATGGCTGTGGGTGTCGCTATTCCCAGGGCTTCTCTGTGGCAGGGATAGGGCATTTTATACACACACACACACACACACACACACATACAACATGCAACACACAGGACACACACACATATAACACATACACACACAACCATATCTATCTCCTTCTCCCCTGCCAGTTCTTTGGTGAAGAACTTGCTCACCAGTTCCCTTTGATTTCCTTAAGTCCAACCCACTACCATGTGATTAATTCAGCCCCTGCCCTGCCCGTGTTTTTAATTCCTTCACCATCATTACGAAGCTGTCTCCCTCCTGTGCTTTCTCAACAAAAATGCATAATATGAATTTAATCATGAGGAGATACAAGACACACCCAAAACAAAAGCCGGTCTATAAAAAAAAATGGCTCATACCCTCACAAATATCAAGGTCATAAAAGACAAAGAAAGGCCAAGAAACCACTCCAGAGGAAAAGCTAAACCTAAAGGACAGCTAAATGCAGTATGTGGCCCCGGACTGGTTCCTGAGCCAGGAAAAAGCTATAAAAGACATTACTGGACATCTTATAAAATTGTTTTTATAATCCTCACCTGAGGATATATTTTCCATTGTTTTTCTGAGAGAGTGGAAGGTTGAGAGAGAGAGAGAGAGAGAGAGAGGAACAACGATGTGAGAGAGACACATCGATTGGTTGCCTCCTGCACTCACCCCGACTTGGGCCAGGGATCAAACCTGCAACCAAGGTATGTGCCCCTGACCAGAATTAAACCCGAGACCTGTCAGTCCATAGGCTGAAGCTCTAACCACTGAGAAAACTGACCAGGGCTATAATTTTTAATATGAACTGTGGATCAGATAATGGCACCATATCACTGTTAAACTTCCTGATTTTGATTTTTGTGTGTAGTTATATATGAGAATATTTTGTTATATATGAGAATACATAAGAAATACACACTGGAGTATTTAGAAATACAGTGGTACCTTGGTTTTCAAATGTATTCCATTCCGGAAGGCCATTTGGGTTCTGAAAAGTTTGAAAACTGAGGGATCCACAGCCAAGAGCTGGGCCTCAGGATCTTGCCCTTGGCATGTTTGCCTTCCAAAGCCTGTTCGGAAACCGAAGCATTTCCTTCCGGGTTTACGGAGTTCGTAACCCAAAATGGTCGTCAACAAAGGCGTTTGAAAACCAAAGTACCACTGTAAAAGGACATAATGTCTGCAACTTACTCTCAAATGGTTCATAAAATAATGTGAGTGCGCGCACATGTGCACGCACGCACACACATACACACAGAAGCAAATGAGGCACAATGTTCAGGACTTGTCTGCTGCTTGAACCCAGGCCCCACAACTGGACTAGACGGACATTAACAGTCCCTCTGCCCTAGTTCACTCTACTCAAGATTCAAAGCCGCAGGAGAGAGACCTGTAGCCCCCTTGCCTTCCGCCCTGCTTCTGCTGGACCTGCCCTGCTCAAGGAGGGTCCTGGGATCAAGCCTCGAGAGCCTCCGTCAGCTGCCATGATGAGATGGAAAGTCCTGAGACTCACCTGCCTATCCCAACTGCACACAAAGGAGAGGCGTCAGTTCCCAAATGGGAGTCAAAGTGCTGCTGGAAACTGGCAATTGTGCTGGGTAGAAACACATAAAAGATGTCTGTAGGAATGTTAAAACCAGTATCTTTGGGGTTGCTAAGTCTCAGCTAAAAATAAGTTTTACGGTCAAAGAGCAAGCTGGAGGCAGGGATGAAGAGAGTTAAGACAAAATGCTCTATAACCTTGCTGCCCAAAGTGTGGTCAGAGGACTGATGGCACCATCACCCGGGAAACGCAGACTCTCAGGCCCACCCCAGACCTCCTGAGTCGAAACCTGCATTTTAACAAGTTCTTGGGTGATTCACATGCTCACTAAAGTCTGAGAAGCACTGCTCTATCTTTGCAGGTCTCACCATTAAAAAAAAAAAAGAATCTGTGCCCAGCCGGGGAGTCTCAGTGGTCTAGTGTTGACCCATACACCAGGAGGTTGCAGGTTCAATTCCAGGTCAGGGCACATGCCCAGGTTTTGGGCTCGATTCCCAGCAGGGGGCATGCAGGAGGCAGCCGATTGATGTCGATGTTTCTCTCTCATTGATGTTTTTCTCTCTCCCTCTCCCTTCCTTTCTAAAAAATTAATAAAAAAATATTTTTAAAAAATAAAAAAAGACTCTGTATGTAATACACAAGAATTCCTTGTAACATTTTTATAATTTTCTTCTATGTGTTTAAAAATTGTATCAAAATTAAGTTATAAAACAAAGAAGCTAAAGATAAATACTCCCAAAATAAAAGGTAAGTGTTTAAACACTTGTGGCTACATTTGCAGTAGACATGAAATGAGTCAACTAGGGGACTGCTCTGGAAAGAATGACATGTCTGAAGTCCCACCTGAGACCCAGTGGGTGGCTTCATCACCCAGCAGAGGCCTGAGAAGGTGCAAAGGTGTGAAGGCCACACTGTGTTGTCGTGATGGAGGTGAAGGGCTCCAGAATGTGCCACTATGGCATAAAAGTTATTTTGAACAGAAAGCAGTTGAGTTCCTGAAATCTCTTCTCTGTCTAAAAGCAGAGCTTCCTGAAAGAACTCAATTGTCCTAAGACCCTCCCTGGGGGCAACCAGGGGAGGCGGACTCATTACTGAAAATGAGAAGTGTCTACACCCAAACAGACACTGTTACACTGTCATATCTCCCATCTATTCTCCTAAGGCCCACTTACCTTTCCAAAATGCCACCTGCTTTCCCACAGTGCCTGTGTCCTCTCCCCTCCCAGTGAGATGGCATAAAGCACCAAATTCTAACAACCTCCTTGTGTCACATTTTTCTGTAAACTCCTGTATGTATGTGATTAAATCTCTTTTCTCTGCGAGTCTTTTTGTCCATTTAATTTGCATGCCCCCAGTTACCGAACCTGAGGGTAGAGGAAAACTTCTCCCTTCCCAGCAGGGATCAAAAAAGGGACAGCGCTGAGACTGTTGGTTAGAGGCCAGAGAGCCCAGCTCTAGACTCAGCCTCAACGCCCGCTTCCTCCAAGCAGCATGGGGTTCGTGACCACTCCTGCCCTTCCCAGAGAAGAATTCTCAGAGCATGCGAGCAGAGGTGCTCTTGGAAGAGACAGTTGTGTTCTGGTTGGTATTTAATTTGCCTAGATTTCATTTTCTCTCTGAAAGCTCTGCCCCAGCTAGGCCGTTCGTTCACTGAACTCAAAGTTCATATATTTATTTCACTCACAGGCATGTTATAATCCTGCCTGTAGTCAGTAGTCATTTTTCTGTGGGAACCACGATATACAGAAACCACTGAAGACCATGAAGGAGTCCAAATGCTATCTGTCATTGCCAGAGCCAAAGACGGAGGACAGCTTGCAGTGTTTCTCACGGCTTCCACCACAGGTAAGCGGCCCCATGGTTACAGGGAGGCCCGCATCCATGCGTGTTTTAGCGTGAAACATGCCGTGGCCGGGCCGGGGGACTTACCACTGGTCCCGGGAGAATGAGATGATGAAGCGAATGCCCGCAGGGAGTCGAGCCATTTACGCACGTGAACCACGGGGCTTTGGCCAGGAAATCAGATGCTTCATGAAGAGGTTAGTAATCCTGGCTCCAAGTCTCTCTCGTCCCTGCACTCACTCAGGCTGGAAAGACGTCCTGTTGGGTGTCCTGTCCCCTCTTCCTTTCTGCAGAGGCTCAGCTCTCTACAATGAGAAAGAGGAGGTGACAATGGCACCTTGGAGTTCCTGGCAGAATAAACTCCCTGTACAGTTGTTACCCAGCCCAGATCAAAGCTGCCTTTCCCACCACCAGGGCCACTAGGTGGCAGGACGGCATCTTCCCCGGGGGTGGGTGTGGGTGGGGCTAGTTCAGAGATCCCTGAAATGAATTTCACATGATGTTCTGATGATATAAAAAGAAAGAACCACCAAGTTCATCCCCATCTGGAAGGCATCTAAGATCAGCCCATTCACCCTTAACCACAATACTCCATAGAATATCAACACTTTCTCGAAACCAGTCTGCTCCCAGGTGTTACACCATGTGCTCAATTGCCAGAGCAGGCCAGGGAACCGGACATGCTCCACTCCACCCACTCTGGACCAGGCCACAGTGGAGCCACAATAACAGAGGGGAATGTAGGCCTGGACCAGATGGCAGGTCATCAAACCAATCATTTAATTGTGGCTTGGCAACTGAACTGAAATGCATCTAATGCTGTGGGAATGAACTTCACCTCAGATCCGCCTCTCCAACTCTCCTGTGGTCACCTCAGAGACCAGAGGAAATGACCCCATTCTGAAGTCAGAGCTGAGGGCAGAGCAAGGCAGGAAGGAAGGGGCAGGGGGCCCCGACCACAAAGGGACCCCGGCACACCAGGAGGTCTCCCATCCCAAAGCCAGCCTCTTGACCTGTCTTCTTTTTCAGGTTTACTTCTACACTTGGCAACAAGGAGTCTTTTGGACCAATGCGTTAAATAACAAAATTCCCAGTGTATACAGAGCACGGGTCGTTCTTACTATTGAAACTTCATAGGTTATATAATTCTTTAAAAGAAAGCTGTTTTGGGTAAACACTAATCTTGATTTAAAGAAGCTGATACTGATTTAATGTCTTCAAACAGTTTCCTTGGGACAGCAGACAAGTAACAGCAAGTGGTTCAGATCTGGGGGACTTACACTTACGTTTGGAAGTGCCCGTCCGTCCAATTAGACCTATGCCCTACGCTCATTCTTGCTCTCCCTCCAGAGTGAGCTTTTAAAAAGTGCACCATCTTCAGTGATTTTTCTTTTACACCACTTTAAAGAAAAGTCAAGATCCTTGCCAAGCTTTCATCCCAGAGCCCTGACCCCTCCCTCTCCCCTCAGGGAGGAGGCAGTGGAGAAGGCCCCTCTGCTCCAGCCAGAGCTACACCTTTGTTCCCACCAGGCCCTTCAGCCCCACCAAAGCCTTAACTGTTACACAGCCTCAGCTACTCACTCCCCCTGGAGTGTCAATGACCCCGCAGCTGACCTTGGGCTTCCTCATCTGCTGAAAAACAGGGAGAGGATGGTACCTACATTTTAGGGTTGCTATGAAGAGAAAACGAGATGACCCACAGAAAGCCCTTAGCACCAGCCTGGTATGGAGCAGGTGCCCAGGAAACAGCAGCTGGTATCATTCCTCTTGGAGACTCAGGGGGTATGAGCTGCCTTGTCACCTGGTTCAGAGCCCAGCACAGACAAGCGCCCGAGAGACGTGCTGAACAAATTCCCACGATTCTTTGAAAGTGTTTTTTTTTTTTCACATCTCTAGACTTAAAATATATTTTACTAAAATTCTGCTCAAAGTGCGTGGGCTTCTGTTTAGGTCTAAATATACTTGGAGAAACATTTGTGATGACTTCAGTGTGAAGGACCTGGTTTAAATTTACAAGGCCTGAAAATGGACGCCAGAATCCAGTGTCTTCCTGAGTCCAAACACCGCTGCTCTCCAACTATTCTATTGCCATCCACTAAACCAATCAATCAATCAATCAATCAACCTCAGTTCAGTTCTGGTAAAACCTGTGACGACAGCAACAACAACCCAGAAGGCGCTGGAAAAGCAACGGGACGTCACTCTCGCTCTCTGAGGATCCCGTGGGCTCTTCTCCTGTGAGCCGGAGCCGGGAGAGCGAGGCTACAGCGGCTCACAGTGAGTGCATTCAGGACGTGTGAAGACAGAGAGTTTACGGGTCGGGTGCTGAGAGCTCGGGGTCGCGAGGCCTCTTCCCCCGAAGCCTGAGCAGGGCCCACAGAAAGTCATTCCACTGAGAGCTGGCGGAGACCAGAGCCTCCTGGGTGAGCCCACAGCCTCTCTGAGGGAGAGGCAGGCTCACTTCAGAGCTGAGCAATGAGGCCAGTGCTGGGCAGCTGGACAAGTGGGGCCAAATCAGGTTGGTCCAGTTTCCCTCAGTCCCCTCCTCCCTCCCACCTCACTTCCTCTGGCCCAGCCCCTTCAAAGACAGGGCGGCAGAACTGGAACAAATCACTTGGCGTAAACCCTGTTTTGGGCACGCAGCCCAAGTACCTAAGAGGACATTTCTTTTAATGGCTCTTACTAGGCATCCCTGGACCTCACTGGCCACCACAGGGAAGAGTGTCAGAATATCCAGTTCCATTCTACTGGGGAAGAGAGCAACTTGGGAAACATCCCGTCAGAGCCTCTGTATGAAAACCTGCCACACACACACGCGTCTATACCCATCTTCCCAAACAGCCCAGCCTAGTCAGCCCTGAGGAATGACCCAGGAAAGTGTGCATTTGGAGCCCCACCCTCCAGCTCACCCTTGGGTGACCTGTGCACCTAGACCAGCCCGTCTCCTGGGAGGGGAACATAATGGGGCTCAGAAGTAAGCAATGGCCAGAGTAAGACGAAAGGGTCTTTCCAGACAGAGGCACTGCTATGAATACTCAGAGAGCCCCCCGTATTTTAAATCACCCACGTAAGACAAAGGTTTTAAAGTGGATCTCATTTTAAGGCAAAGGTGGGTGAGAGCTGGGTGTCCCCCCAGAACGTTTTCTGAGCAAGGAAACAACTTCCTTTACAGAAGAAACACTTTCTGTGGTTTGTGCTTTAGAGGCTCTTCCCAGTATTAAAGATGAGTGGCAGTGGCCACCAACCATCTCCTTCCCTGTGGCTTAAGCACAAAAGCGCACCCTCCCTCCTAGGACCAAGGGGACGTCTGCACAGAGCGGCCGGGTGCGGTCCAGCAGGTGTGGGGAGCGCGGGGCTGGAGCGGAGGCGTCAGCTTGACCTACCGCTCGAGGGGGAGCAGCGGGGAAGCTGAGCAGTGACCCACTCAAGGCGCCTCAAGCCAGTGGAGTTCAAGGTCAGGCGGCGCCTCCCGAGCGCGGGAGCCCGCCGACGCGGACAGGCGCGCAGGGATCCCCCGAGCGGTTCAAACCTGTGGGCGGGGCGGGCCCCCAGCGTCCTCGCTCCGCTGCAAATCCCGGTGGAGGAGGAGAGCGCGGTGGCGGCCGCGGCTTTCTGGCACCTTAAGCCCGACCAAGGCAGGAGCTCGCGTCGCAGGGAGGCTCCCGGGCTCGGGAACCAGCTGCTAGACAAACAGC